ATCGCCGTGGACGACAGGACGTCCATGTCGAGAGGAAAAAATAAGAAAAATGTTGATTTTGTATTGTTTTTTACAGGTTAGGATGGGACCACCCGGATGCGCCCGCTATCTGCCGGCCTGAGGGGGGAGTAGGAGTAGATTCTAATAAGGAACAAGGATAGGAGTCAAGCTAGCCAGCTCGAGCGAGTCAAGCATGGCATGCCCAGTCCCACCCGCCCTCCCACAACATAAGAAGCAAAGCTGGCACAACTGGGGGCCGAAGTCACAACGGCCAGCCGGTTTGGTACAGCTGATGCGGCCGCGATGGCGGTTGCCGACGGGAACTGGCGAGCGCGTGTTGAATGCCGCGCACGCATTGCCAGACGAGTCGAGAGGGGCCCGGTACACCGCAGGAAGCCAGAGGTGGCCGGAGGAAGCCCGACGGTCTGACAGGACACCCCAAAGCATTTTTGTGAAAAAGCATTGGGTTTTCGATGTTTTTATGTTGAAATGCTTGCAAACACACGGTGTTCGGTAGGATTCTGACATGAACGCGCGAGTGTGCTCTTTGTTGTATTTTTTGCACAGGATTCGTGGCCTGGGTGCATGACAGAGCATCGCGAGTGCACCGCGCGATGACGTGAAATCGCTGGATTTGACCGAATTCTTAAGATCCCTATGGTTTTCCTATGATTTCAGCAAGAGAGCCCGGGCGGGAAATTTGTACAAATTTTGTGAAAAAAGCATTGGGTTTTTGATGTTTTTATGTTGAAATGCTTGCAAACACACGGTGTTCGGTAGGATTATGACATGAACGCGCGCGTGTGCTCTTTGTGGTATTTTTTGCAATGGATTATCGCCGTGGACGACAGGACGTCCATGTCGAGAGGAAAAAATAAGAAAAATGTTGATTTTGTATTGTTTTTTTTACAGGTTAGGATGGGACCCCCCGGATGCGGCCCCTAATGGCCGGCCTGAGGGGGGAGTAGGAGTATATTCTAATAAGGAATAAGGATAGGAGTAGGAGTAGGAGTAGGAGTAGGAGTCAAGCTAGCCAGCTCGAGCGAGTCAAGCATGGCATGCCCAGTCCCACCCGCCCTCCCACAACATAAGAAGCAAAGCTGGCACAACTGGGGGCCGAAGTCACACCGGCCAGACGGTTTGGTACAGCTGATGCGGCCGCGATGGCGGTTGCCGACGGGAACTGGCGAGCGCGTGTTGAATGCCGCGCACGCATTGCCAGACGAGTCGAGAATGGCCCGGTACACCGCAGGAAGCCAGAGGTGGCCGGAGGAAGCCCGACGGTCTGACAGGACACCCCAAAGCATTTTTGTGAAAAAAAGCATTGGGTTTTTGATGTTTTTATGTTGAAATGCTTGCAAACACACGGTGTTCGGTAGGATTCTGACATGAACGCGCGAGTGTGCTCTTTGTTGCATTTTTTGCACAGGATTCGCGGCCTGGGTGCATGACAGAGCATCGCGAGTGCACCGCGCGATGACGTGAAATCGCTGGATTTGACCGAATTGTTAAGATTCCTATGGTTTTCCTATGATTTCAGCAAGAGAGCCCGGGCGGGAAATTTGTAGAATTTTTGTGAAAAAGCATTGGGTTTTTGATGTTTTTATGTTGAAATGCTTGCAAACACAAGGTGTTCGGTAGGATTATGACATGAACGCGCGCGTGTGCTCTTTGTGGTATTTTTTGCAATGGATTATCGCCGTGGACGACAGACAGGACGTCCATGTCGAGAGGAAAAAATAAGACAAATGTTGATTTTGTATTGTTTTTTACAGGTTAGGATGGGACCACCCGGATGCGGCCCCTAATGGCCGGCCTGAGGGGGGAGTAGGAGTATATTCTAATAAGGAATAAGGATCAAGCTAGCCAGCTCGAGCGAGTCAAGCATGGCATGCCCAGTCCCACCCGCCCTCCCACAACAAAAGAAGCAAAGCTGGCACAACTGGGGGCCGAAGTCACACCGGCCAGCCGGTTTGGTACAGCTGATGCGGCCGCGATGGCGGTTGCCGACGGGAACTGGCGAGCGCGCGTTGAATGCCGCGCACGCATTGCCAGACGAGTCGAGAATGGCCCGGTACACCGCAGGAAGCCAGAGGTGGCCGGAGGAAGCCCGACGGTCTGACAGGACACCCCAAAGCACTTTTGTGAAAAAGCATTGGGTTTTTGATGTTTTTATGTTGAAATGCTTGCAAACACACGGTGTTCGGTAGGATTCCGACATGAACGCGCGAGTGTGCTCTTTGTGGTACTTTTTGCACAGGATTCGCGGCCTGGGTGCATGACAGAGCATCGCGAGTGCACCGCGCGATGACGTGAAATCGCTGGATTTGACAGAATTCTTAAGATTCCTATGGTTTTCCTGTGATTTCAGCAAGAGAGCCCGGGCGGGAAATTTGTACAATTTTTGTGAAAAAGCATTGGGTTTTTGATGTTTTTATGTTGAAATGCTTGCAAACACACGGTGTTCGGTAGGATTTGACATGAACGCGCGCGTGTGCTCTTTGTGGTATTTTTTGCAATGGATTATCGCCGTGGACGACAGGACGTCCATGTCGAGAGGAAAAAATAAGAAACATGTTGATTTTGTATTGTTTTTTCAAGGTGGCGTTTCTAGGATGGGACCCCCCGGAGGCGGCCCCTTAATGGCCCGGGATTCTGAGGGGAGTAGACTATAATTCTAATAAGGAATACGTATAGGAGTAGGAGAGTAGTAGGAGGTAGAGTAGGCAAGTAGGAGTAGTAGGAGTAGGGTCAGTAGTGTAGGTAGTAGTACTAGTACAGTAATAGTACAGTAATAGTAGTATAGTTCGTAGTAGTAGTAGTGTAGGTAGTTAGTAGTAGTGTAGTAGTTTAGTAGTAGTATAGTAGTAGTAGTAGTAGTAGTTGTAGAGTAGTGTTGGTGGTGGTGATGGTGGGGTGGTGAGTGGCGTGGTGGTGTGGTGGTGGTGTGTTGGTGTAGTAGTAGTAGTAGTAGTAGTAGTAGTAGTAGTAGTAGTAGTAGTAGTAGTAGTAGTAGTAGTAGTAGTAGTAGTAGTAGTAGTAGTAGTAGTAGTAGTAGTAGTAGTAGTAGTAGTAGTAGTAGTAGTAGTAGTAGTCGTAGTAGTCGTAGTAGTCGTAGTAGTCGTACTAGTACTAGTAGTAGTCATCGTAGTAGTAGTAGTAGTCATCGTAGTAGTAGTCGTAGTAGTAGTAGTAGTAGTAGTAGTAGTAGTAGTAGTAGTAGTAGTAGTAGTAGTAGTAGTAGTAGTAGTAGTAGTAGTCGTAGTCGTAGTCGTAGTCGTAGTCGTAGTCGTAGTTGTCGTCGTAGCAGTCGTAGTCGTTGTAGCAGCAGCAGTAGGAGGGGGAGGATGAGGAGCATTGAGGAGGTAGTGGTGGTGGTGGTGGACAATGATACTGATGACGGTGATGCTATTGATGCTGATTCTGATGCTGCTGATGATGATATTGCTGCTGATGATGATGGTAGTGGCGATGGGGATGAGGATGCTGATGCTGATGATGAGAAAGATGATGATGAGGACGAGGATGAGAATCATGAGGACGATACTTTGGCCTATGAGTATGATGATGACCACGCTGGCGAGGGTGTTGGTTGCGATGGCGATGATGCCAATGACGACCACGATGACGATAACGATAACGGCGTCGATTGCCATAAGTGTCCGCATGATGAGTATGCTGATGATGCTGTTGTTGTTGGTGGTGGTGTGATGACGGGGATGACGAGCATGATGGTGGTGATGGTGATGATGATGATGGTGGTGATGGTGATGATGGTGATGATGGTGATGATGGTGGTGGTGATGCTGCTGATGATGATGCTGATGCCGATGATGATGATGATGATGACGATGATGATGAGGATGATGATGATGATGATGATGATGATGATGATGATGATGATGATGCTGATGCTGATGCTGATGATGATGAAGATGATGATGATGAGGAGGATTGTGTTGGCGGCGGCAGCGGTGACAACGATGGCGAGGCTGCTGCTGATGATGACGGCAGCGGTGGTGGTGGATTGATGATGGTGATGGTGGTGGTGGTGATGATGATTGTGGTGTTGTCAATGATGTTAATGATGTTGATGCTGCTGCTGCTGATGCTGATGCTGCTGATGATGATGAGGATGCTGATGAGGATGCTGATGTTGATGATGTGGAGGACCTATCGATCCCCCTCGTTCCCTCCGCCCGCTCCTCCTCGCCCCGAGACGTGACGAGTTGGATTTGGCGGCGCGACCTCTTCGGAGAGCCCACTTGAACACGGCGCCCCTTTCCGACGTCCCTGGGATAAGGGGTTCTTCCCTTGACAACGCGAGGAATCAGCGGCACCCCTAACGCACTGCTACCTGGTTGGCATGGGTTCTCCGCATTGCGGCAGTCCCATAACCCAGACTTCACCGTCCACGCAGGTTTGGCCTTTCAGTTGGATCGTTTGCCCTTGCCGTTGGCTTCGTCCTCAGACTAACCTCGCTTTTTTGCCCGCGCCTACAGCGTCCGTCTTGACGATGTTGGACGGTAGGGTGGTCATGTGTACTCATGTTCTGGATGTTATGGTCCAACTCCGTGGGGGTTTTACAGTTGGGACGACCATGGACGGCGTGGCCCCCCTCCCTGCATGCTGTAGTCCGGCAAAGTCGTCGCCGTTATTTTCCTGAACGCGGCTGCAGTGTCATAAAGACGATGAGCAGCAGGAGGGGGTGACAGCGGCATATAATGATGTGGATATGTAGAGGCGGAGATGGAGATGGAGCTGGAAGAAGGAGGAGCAGGAGGAGGATGAGAATGCGGCGGGGGATGGGGGAGGAGGAGGAGGAGGCGGAGGAGGAGGACGAGGAGGACGGAGAGGGCACGGGCTTGGAGGAGGACGAGGAGGGACAGGAGGAGCGGGGTGAGAAGGACGAGCAGCAGGAGGGCGACGAGGGCGACGAGGCCGGGATTTCTTGCTGCGGGAGGAGAGAGGGCCGCGGCCCAGCGCGCCGCTCGGCCCAGGAGCATGCTCTACGAGGTCAGCAGCGGGCTGGTCGCCCTGAAGGAGAAGCCCAACGCCAGGAGCAAGGCTGCCGCCACCACGTCGTCGTCGTATTCGGCGTCGGCGTCGGCATCAGCGTCGTCGTAGTCGTCGTCGTCGTCGTCGGCCGCCCCCATCGCGGCGTCTTCGTCGTCCGGCGTCGTCGGCCGTCGTCGGAGCCCTCCTGCCCCCCTGCTCCCCCATCCTCGCTGCTCCTCCATGCTCTGTCCTCCTTCTCCCCCCTCCCTCCTCCCCACTCCGCTTTCTTTCTCCATCCTCGTCCCTCCCTCCTTCCTCCCTCCCTCCTTCCTCCCTCCCTCCTCCCTCCCTCCCTCCTCCCTCCTCCCTCCCTTCTCCCGCCTTCCTCCCTCCTCCATCCCTCCTTCCTCCGCATTTTTCGCTTTCTTTCTCCATCCTCGTCACTCCTTCTTTCTGACGTGGCCGACAATCAATCAGATTTCGTCACAGCAGCCGTATGGCATAACCCTCCCGCACACAGGTTATCGACTTTCCGAGTTCCCTGCGAAGTGTAGTCGAGGTGGCATCGACTTGTTTGAAGCACGAGAACGATCGGTATTGATCCAGCTTGACCGCCCAGCACGGTGGATTGAAATTCCCACTTGAAGACCATACTTTGGTTCGATGGGTAATCCACGGCGCACTCTCTGCATCATGCCAGCTATCGTCCGAGCATATCAGCATTGAGCATGTGCTTTCAGCTGTGCAATCTGGGCACGTGCGGGACAGTTCATGTGAACATATTTTTAAGTGTGCATTTTAGAAGCAGCCTACGCGGTACATTGACTGGGCACTCGTCGGGCGCATTGCTATGGAACATGAAAGTTCAGTCAAGTTCTTCTAGAGGCATACTTTTGCAGAAGACTCAACTACTTACACCACCCTGTCGTCCAACCGTCGTTTTTGCCCTTCCTCTGATTCTTGTCATTCGGCTCACTTTTGCCAGTACGCACTCATCAAGTACCTCCTCCTCTCAGTCCTTGCCTTGCCCTTCTGCGCGTCCTTGCCGTTGCAATTGATTTTTCCTCGCGTTTTTCCGTCCTTGGTAGGTTTCCTAGTGCTTTTATTTGCGCAAGTGGTATTCGTTAGGGTTCAGGTTTCTCTGCTGCCAGCTGCTTCTCTGCCCACTTCCTTTTGTCTTAGTGTAATTGCTTCAGTCGCACAGCTTCTCTTTGGCATCACATGATTACTTGTGATCATTATTGCCGGCTCCGGTTGGGGTAGCTCGCCATTGGTTTCTCGGGCATCTGTGTAAGTCTGATGGTTTATGCGTTGTTGTACTCGCCCTTTCTTGTCGTTCTGCTCTTGGAATTTCCCAGCCTCTCACCAGCTGCTGCCCGATCACCCCGGCGGGCGTGAGACTCGCAGCGGCACCCGTTTCGCCCGCGCCACCACTGGAGGGCCTCCAAGCACCCCCGTTTGCCCCGCGGCGCCTCCGGCTTCGTGGGGCGGCCCAAAGATCCGACATCGTGCTTTGTTCAACACGGGGTCCCCAGAAGTCTCGACCCCTTCCACGGGACCAGCTTTTCATCCCGAGTCGTTGTCTGACGGCCCCCAGGGGCCCGGCGAGGGCCCCTGGAGGCCAACAACCGCGAACAGCCTCCGCCTGGGTTTGTTTCTCAGTGCGTTGGATCGCTACTCCTCCTACTGTGAAGGCTGCACGGCCGATGCCGCCGACCCAGAAGCACGATGACAACGACCACGACGACTACCACGACGACAACGACAACGACGAGCTGATGACCCTGCCACAAGCTCGAGACATGGGGCGGGCGGTGGTGGGAGGAGGAGGAGGAGGAGGAGGAGGAGGCGGAGGAGGAGGCGGAGGAGGAGGAGGAGGGGGAGGGAAAGAAGGAGGAAGGAGGAGGGGGACGGGGACCCCTTCCATCTCCCCCTCCCCCGGCTAGTCCTCCTATTTCCTCTTCCCTCCGCCCGCCTGCCCACCCTCTTGCCTCCTTCCTTCTCGTTCACCCCCCTCCCTCCTCCCTCTTCCCTCCATTCTTCCTCTGTCCTTTCATTCCTCCTCGTCCGAGTGGCGGAGGGTGGAACATGTAGCCCTTTTCTTTCTCCTCTCTCCCCTACCTCTCTCCGGTCCTGGTCAGAGTGGCCTGGCCTCAGTGCGGGCCCCTGGGATATGCATCGGGCGGCGCCAGTGAGTACGAGGTTCTTAACAGTGTGTCCCTTCGCGTGCGTCAGGACCAGAAGGGGATTCCGTGCGCAGGAGCTGTTGAGTTCAAGAGATCGGATGGCTCTCGGCACAATACAGCGAGGGAGAAGGGAAGCGGACGATCGGGAAGAGGAGTCGGAGCAGGAGGAGGACGGCGAAGAAGAGGAGGAGGAGTAGGAGGAGGAGCAGGAGGAGGAGCGCAAGGAGGAGCAGGAGGAACGCGAGGAGGACGACGACGAGGAGGAATAGGAGGAGGAGGAGGAGGAGGAGCAGGAGGAGGAGGAAGAGAGGAGGAGGAGGAGGAGGAGAAGCACGAGGGCGAGGGCAGCAGGGCGACTGCGACGACGACGGCAGCGGCGGCAGAGACGACGGCGGCCCCCCAGGGCCTCGGCGTGCTCCGGGGCGGCAGCCGCTTCTTCGGGGTTGCCCACACGATCGAGGACCAGGAGTGGCTGCAGGTGCCCGCGCGGCCACCCCGGATAGAGCGGGCGGCAGCCCCAGCCCTGGGATGATGATGACGATGGTGATGACCATGGCGATGACGGCGATGATGGTGTTGATAATGTCGATGCTGATGCTGTTGATGATGGCGATGATGATGCTGATGACGATGATGAGGGTGGTGGTGGTGGTGGTAATGATGACGATGATGATGATGATGATGATGATGATGATGATGATGATGATGATGATGATGATGATGATGATGATGATACCTTGATGATGATGATGATGATGATGATGATGATGATGATGATGATGATGACACTCATGGTGATGATGAGGACGGTGGTGATCATCATTATGGTGGTGATGATGAGGATGATGATGGCGACGAGGGTGATGATGATGATGATGATGATGATGACGATGCTACTGGCGATGATGCTGATGGTGATGACGATCATGGTGACGATGGCGGTATTGCTGATGACAATGATGCTGATGGTGATGGTGATGATTATGATGCTGATGTTGACGATGATGATATGGATGGTGCTGATGATGACGATGCAGATGATGATGATGATGATGATGCTGATGATGATGATGATGATGATGATGATGATGATGATGATGATGATGCTGATGATGATGATGATGACGATGATGATAATGCTGATGCTGATGCTGATGCTGATGATGATGATGATGGTGATGATGATGATGATGATGATGCTTCTGATGATGCTGCTGCTAATGATGATAGTACCGGCGAAAACGGTCATGGGGATGATGGTGGTGGTGATGATTATGATGATAGTGATGTTGATGATGCTGATGCTGATGCTGCGGATGATGATGATGCCGATGATGTTGACGATGATGATGTTGTTGATGATGATGATGATCAGAATGGTGACGATTATGAAGAAAAAGAGGAGGCGGAGACGGAGGAGGACCTGGCATCGCTCGGACGTGTGCATTTTTCTTTCGGCGAGGACCATCGAGGAGCATCCTTGATCATTTGGTGAAAAAACCACGCACGAAGCCGAAAAAAGCACAGGGAATGGACGTCCGAGCGATGGCGAGAGGAGGATATGGAGGAGGCGGGGGATGCTCGATGATGATGATGATGATGATGATGATGATGATGATGATGATGATGATGATGATGATGATGATGATGATGATGATGATGATGGTGATGGTGATGGTGATGTTGATGCTGATGATGATGATGATGATGCCGACTCCTGCTTAGGGGACGATGGGGGAGGAGGGGGAGGAGGAGGGGGGGGAGGATGATGAGGTTGATTCCTCATGATGGCGACGATGATGCCGATGATGAAGATGGCGATGACTATGACGGCGATGATGAGACTGATGATGCCGATGGTTATGCTGATGGTGATGATCGTGGTAGTGATGATGATGACGACGATGGTGGTGATGATGATGTCGATGACGACGCCGATGAGCATGCTTTATACGGGTGATGACGATGACGATGCCAGTGATGTTGGTGTTGACGACCATGATACTCATGATGATGTCCATGATTCTGTGAATGTTCAGGATTGTAATGATGATGATTATGCTAATCATGATGGTTATGGTGGTGGTGGTGATGATGGTGATGATGAATATGACGATGCTGATGATGATGCTGCTGACGATGCTGCTGACGATGATGATGATGACAGTTGCGATGACGGTGATGGCAACGATGCTGCTTGAGGATGGTGGTGGTGATGGCGATACTGTTACTTCATAATGATGTTGCTAATGACGATGCTGATGATGACGACAATGATGATGCTGATTATGATGTTGATCTCGATGATGACGGTGACGATGATGAAGAATGGGAGGCGGGGAATGAAGAGAAGGGGGAGGAGGAGGAGGAGGAGGAGGAGGGGGAGTAGGAGGAGGAGGAGGAGGATGAAGGGGAGGAGGATGCTTGATTATGGTGATGCTGAGGATGGTAACTATGATCGCGATGACGATGATGATGGTGGCGATGCTGGTGTTGATGATGACGGCGATTATACTTAAGATGAAGGTGATGATGTTTATGATGTTAATGGCGGTAGAGATGATTTTCGTAACGACGATTGTGATGCTGATGCCGATGACGACGCCGATGAGAATGGGTATTCGGGTGATGGCGAAGAAGTTGGCGAAGATGGTGACTTAGGCGGTCATGATACTTCTGATGATGATTAATCCGGCGATGGTCATGCTGATGCTGATCGTGATGATGATGATGATGATGATGATGATGATGATGATGATGATGATGATGATGATGTTGGTGACGATGGTGATTTCGATTCTGACCATTATGATGATGGCGACGCTAACAAAGATGATGATGATGCGCTTGATGATGATAACGCTGTCGATGATGCCGATGCTGACGATTCAGAAGAGGAGGCGGAGGAGGAGTAGGAAGAGGGGGACGGGGAGGAGGAGGATGATACTCGATGATGCTGATACTGCTGCTGCTGCTGATGATGATGGTGATGATGACGGTAGTGATGGTGATGTTGTTGGCGACGGTGATCATACTGATGATTATGTCGATGCTGATCATGATGATGACGATGATGATGATGATGATGATGATGATGATGATGATGATGATGATGATGATGATGATGATGATGATGATGGTGATGATGGTGTCGACGATGATGAGTCTGATGACGACGGTGCTGGTTGTGCTGGTTATGCTGATGACGGCGAGTGTGATGCTAATGACGATGAGAACGCCGATGAGGTTGGTTATGCTGGTGATGTAACTGAAGATGACGACGGTGGTGATGATGCAGGTACTCATTATACTGATGATGCCAACGATGATGAGTAGTATGATTCTGATGATGACGGCGATCATAATTGGTTGTGACGACGATGGCGATGATGTCGATGATGTTGATGCGGTTGATGCTGACGACGACGCTAATGATGAGATTGATGGCGACGACGATGATGATGATGATGATTGTGACGATGACGATGATGATGATGAGTATGATGAGTATGAGGGTGATTATGATCATACTGTTCTATGATGATGATACTGATGGTAATGATGGCGTTGATGATGATCATGATGGTGTTGATGTTGCTGCTGATGATGATGAGGATGCTGATGATGACGAGGAGGAGGAGCAGGATGATAAGGATGATGCTGATGATGCTGATTATGATGATGATGCTGATGCTGATGATGCTGCTGATGCTGTTGTTGATGCGTATGGTGATGCTAATGATGATGAGTATGATGATGAGGATGTTGGCGATGAGAATGATGCAACAGAAGAATGCGAAACAGGCCGGCGGATGAACAGTAATAGGAGGAGCAGGAGAAGGAGGCGAAGGGGAGGAGGTGGAAGGGGAGGAGGACGTTTCTTCTTATGTCAGTTTATGATGAGGTTGATGATGATAACGATGTTGATGCTGATTACGACGATGATGCTCCGGTCGATAATGAGTATGATTATGAAGTTTATGGTGGTGATGATGATGACGATGCTGCTGATGATGATGATGATCATCATCATCATCATCATGTTGATACTGATGATGATTATGATGATGATGATGATGATGATGATGATGATGATGATGGTGATGATGATGATGATGATGATGATGATGATGATGATGATGATGATGATGATGATGATGATGATGATAAGGAGGAGGAGGAGGAGGAAGAGGGGGAGGATGAGGAGGAGCTGGAGGATGAGGCAGACGAGGAGAAGGTTGAGGAGGAGGAGGAGGATGCGGGGATGCTCTTGGGAAGTGGAGGAGGAGAAGGAGGAGGAGGAGGAGGAGGACCAGTGTAGACCCAGGAGTCATCAACGATGTTGGGATACACCCTCCCTCCAAGCTCCCTCTTCACAGGCCCCTACAATGGCTTCATGTCAAATGCTGGAACTGTTCCGTTTGAAGAACCTGAAGGATGCCAAAACAGTATTCTCGGGGCTCCAACGCCACAGAAGATCCTGGCGACTGTTGCGTCTAGACGACCATTCATCGTGCCAACGCGCCATTCCTGGGACTTCAACACCGCGAATCAACATACCTGTTGCGCCCTCATAATCCTGAATCTTTCCAAAACGCCATGCCTGGTACCTTCACCGTGGAAAAACCTGAATCTCTTATAAGGTTTGAAGAGGAATGTGCGCGGCGCTATGGCGAGAGCCACTCGTTGAAAAGGAACTGCCCTCAAACCGTGAATTTCTTGCAAGTGTTGAAAACGAATGTGCGCGGCGCTAAGGCGAGAGCCCCATTTTGAAACCACCCGCCCTCCATATGTGATGCGGCTGCCAAAGTTGACGCTTCAGGGTCACCAGTGGTAAGGCGGTAAGGCATACGGGGGGGGGGGCGGGGACGTGAGGATGTGGGGGGGGGTGGGGGCGTCAGCGTCCGCGTTTCCGTTGTCAGCGCGTGTCGTCCCCCTGGACTCTGCCATTGGGCTCCCGCTCGCTGGTAAATATAGAGCGGGGGGGGGGGTGCCTTTATGCCTGGCGTGCGCGCCAGGCCCCCCCCCGCCTTCGGCGCCCAGCGGCCGCCCCCGCCTCCGTCCCGTCCCCATCCCCTTCCCTTTCCACCCCCCCTCCCTTCCCGTCGCCTCCCTCCCCGTCGCCCTCCCCCCCCTCCCCGTTCCCTCCCTTCCCGCCCCCTTCTCCCTTCCCGTCCTCTCCCCGCACTCCCCGTCCGCTCCACTCCCTTCCCCGCCCCTCCCCTCCCTCAGCCCCCCGCTCCCCGTCCCTTCCCGTCGCCCCTTCCCGTCGCCCCTCCCCCTCCCTCTCCAGCTTCCCAGAGCGGTGGGGGAGGGGGAAGCAACGAAGGAGGTGGAGAAAGAGGAGGAGGACGAGGGGTGGGCGGAGGAGGAAGAGGCGTACCAAGAGGACGAACGGTCGGAGGAGGTGGAGGATGAAAGAAGGAGGAGGAGGAGGAAAAGGAGGAGGGGTAGGTAGGACAGTACTACTCGTGATTGGGAAGGAGGGAGGAGCTAGGAGCAGGATGATGAGGATGAGGATGAATAAGAGGCACATGAGGATGACGTACCATATGATTATAATCGTGAGAAGACAAGGTAATAATGATGTTGATGATGACGATGATGATGATGATGATGATGATGATGATGATGATGATGATGATGATGATGATGATGATGATGATGCTGATGATGATGTTGATGATGGTGGTGATGAGGATGACGATGATGGTGATGACGATGATAGTGATGATGCCGCTGATCATGATGCCGACGATTATATGGTTGCTGATGCTGGTGCTGCTGATGATGACAAGGAGGAGGATGATACTGATGATGCTGGTACTGGTGATAGTGTTGACGATGATGATGGCGACGCCAATGAAGATTCTGCTGATGATGATGGGGATGGGGATGGGGCTGAGATTGAACGTGAGGATGGGGATGAGGGCACGGACGCGGATTGCTATACTGATGACGATGTAGATGATGATGTTGTCGATGATGAGGTTGCGCATGGGGATGCGGATACTAGCGATGCTGTTGATGATGAGGTTGTTGATGATGATGTGGATGATGCTGCTGATGATGATGATGACGATGCTGGTGTTGATGATGCTGATGATGATGACGATGGTGACGATGCTGGTGATAGTGACGGTGAAGATGGCGATGGTGATGCTATGTCTGCCGCGTCTTCGTGTCCCCGAGGCTCTTCTCGACTACAGTTCTTGTTTCTATATGAATGTGCGTTGCTTCATGCACGTTGGGAACCAGTTGTTTATCGCCTTCCCAATCGAACGTGGCATCATCCAGGGCTGCCCAGCGCCGTGCATGATCTACGCGACCGCCTCCCACCCTTTCCTCTCCGACGTCGACCTGGCCCTGAATATGCGAACCCGTGGACTGGCCAAAGCATGCGCTTCGTGCAGTTGATGAGCTCCGTCGACTGCAGAGACCATTCGATCAGAGCAGAAGGTTTGCAGATCTCACGCTAAAGGTATCTAAACATTTGATCACCCCTCTTTGTGGGAACTTCACTCCCGAGCTAGCTCAAACCGTCCAAGGACTGGCTAGCCGAGAACATCCCAGACTGGTTCACGTTGCAAGTCATTCCGTGTTTGACTTGCCTTGGTTTGGTTTTGGGTCTTCGGGCCATTGAAAAAGAAAGTTGGAACGCACAAGTTCTGAAGTGATATAGCCGCAGCTGCGACATTGCTGGAGCTCGATTGCCCACGGCTGTCTCCCAATATCTGTACAGTATGCGTGCTGTGCCGACCCTCATTTATGTCTCTCAGTTAATGCCTCTCCCCGTCCGTGATCTCTGGTTCGGCCCCCCGCCGTTGAGCATGCTCTCCTCTCCTCTTTGTTTCGTGCTTCACATTGCTCCATCCCTCGCGCGGGCTGGTTCGCTACTCATCATTGGGGCGGCCCTCCTGCGCCCAGCATCCCGGTTGTCTCTCTCGCCGCTCTCCTGCGCACCGCGCTCCGCACGCTGCCCGAGCGGAGAGACCCGCACGCCGTTCCCTCGCGTGCTGCCCCGAACCATCTCAGTCTGCAGGATCTTCCGCCCGCCTGTCCCCCGCCTGGCGGCAAGCGCCCCCGCTGGTCGAGAGCCTCCTCCGAGCTGCCCGCGGTTCTCCCCGACAGGCGTCCAACCCCTCGCCGCTGCTGGCCGCTCCGCTGCCACTCTAGCGATGGAAGCGCTGAGTCCTCCACTTCCTCCTCCTCCTCCTCCTCCTCCTCGTCCTCCTCCCACTCCTCCTCCTTCTCCTCCTCGATCCTCGACCCCCCCCCCTCCCGTCTTGGAGCGAGTTCGCCGCTGAGTCCGCGCTGAACCCCCGCGCCCCAGGCTGAAACTCCAGAAGCCGATGTCCGAACGCCTGCGTTCGACGCCTTTCCCGGGCCCTCTCCGTGGGACTTTTTTTCGTCGGTTCGTCTGCATTCCTGGTGTCCCGAGCGTGCTGCTGAAGTGTCGAAAGTCAGTTGGAGTGCCGCTGGAGCCTGCTCAGAGACACTGCCCACAGCCTTCAGCACGGCCGCGCTCTAGACGCTTGCAGGTTCATGGGTTACTTCCATGCGTTTGCACGACAAAGCTCACATGCTTGCATGATGGGCTGCGGCGGCCCAGACTTTTTTGTTCATTACTGGCCGCAGTGCCCCGTCTTCCAGTATGCTATTGCGCTAAGCATCCACCCCATTCCTTTTTTTAATTCTCTTGCACAGCTGTGCTCTAGAGCTCGGACATCTTTATTTTCGTGTCGTGTCGTGTCGTTCGTCCCCCTGCCCCCCCCCTGCCCCCCCCCGTCCAGGCTCCCCAGGGCAGCCCCCCTGGGCCTCGGACACCTTTATTTTCGTGTCGTGTCGTGTCGTTCGTCCCCCTGCCCCCCCCCGCCCAGGCTTCCCAGGGCAGCCCCCCTGAGCCTCGGACATCTTTATTCTCTTGGCACAGCTGTGCTCTAGGAGCTCGGACATCTTTATTTCGTCGTCGTGTCGTGTCGTTAGTCCCCCCTGCCCCACCCCTATGCCTGCCCCCCCCCCGTCCAGGCTCCCCAGGGCAGGCCTGGGGGCCTCGACACCTTTATTTTCGTGTGTGTCGTGTCGTTCGTCCCCACTGCCCCCCCCCGTGCAGGCTTCCCAGGGCAGCCCCCCTCGAAAAAGAGAGAACATCTTTATTTTCGTGTCGTGTCGTGTCGTTCGCCCCCCTGCCCCCCCCCCCTGCCCCCCCCCCAGACCCAGCTCCCCCGTCCAGGCTTCCCAGGGCAGCCCCCCTGGGCCCCAGACATCTTTATTTTCGTGTCGTGTCGTTCGTCCCCGCGCCCCCCCCCTGCCTTCCCCCCAGACCCAGCTCTTCTGGGCCACCCTCCCGTGGGAGCCCTGAGACCCAGCTCCCCTGCCCCGCCCCCCCCCCCTCGGGAGCCCTTTGGAGCCCGGCCCCGTCCAGGCTTCCCAGGGCAGCCCCCCTGGGCCACGGAACCCTCCCCTCCGTGCTCCCCTGGGCCACCCCCCCGTGGGAGCCCTTGGGAGCCCTCCTCCGTCCAGGGTTCCCAGGGCAGCCCCCCTGGGCCACGGAACCCTTTATTTTCGTCGTCGTCCTTCGTTCCTGGGACACCCCCCGTGGAAACTCTTGGGAGCACCCCTCCGTCCAGGCTTCCCAGGGCAGCCCCCCTGGGCCATGGAACCCTGTATTTTCGTCGTGGTCGTTCGTGGTTCGTGGAAACCAGGCCAGGCCCAGAAATCGTCGTCGTCGTCCTCCTCCTCCTCCTCCGCTTTCTTCCTGGCTCCTCGTAAACCCCTCCTGGAAGAAGGAGGCGGGGGCCTCCTGTCATTCGCAACTCCTTTGTGCAAGAGCCAGGGCACGCGTGCCACTTGTTATTTCATCTCTCGCCTCGGTCTCTGTCATCCCTGCCGCCGCTCTCTCGAGCCTGCTGCTGCTGGTCGTCTTCTCTTCAATGCCGCTCGAGCCTCTTTCTCCGCTTCCGACAAGCCTCTCACGGGCAGCGAAATCTTCAGTCTTCAGCCTCTTGTCCCAGCTCAGCTCGCGAGGCTGCGGGTAGCGGGCGGCGAGCGCGGATAGACTGCGGCACGCCTTCGGCGACGCTCCAGGAGGTGGAGGAGGAAACGGAGGAGGAGGAGGAGGAGGAGGAGGAGGAGGGAAACGAGGAGGAGGAGGAGGAGGAGGAGGAGGAGGAGGAGGAGGAGGAGGAGGAGGAGGAGGAGGAGGAGGAGGAGGATGTGAGGATGAGGGTCGAAACTTGATCCGGGACAGGGAACCCGGTGGCGGCGGGGGGGGGCGTGCCCGCCCGTGGGGGGGCGATTGGGGGCTGGCGACCTGGGCCCTCCCCCTTGGCTGGGTTCCCTGCCCATCTCGGGGTCCCCAGGCCCCATCCGTCGCTCGCCGCCCCTCGGGGAAGGCGGAGGTGCGCCCGCGCGGCATTTGCTGCGCAGCCGTGCGGCGCATGGCGCTGCACGGTGGCGCCGCTGCAGATGTTGGCATTTGTTTCTGCAGCTTGCGGTCGTGGGAGGTCACATTAACGGCAATAAAAAGAGAAGGCGGAGGAGGAGGAGGAGGAGGAAGAAGAAGAGGAGGCGGAGGAGGGGGAGGGGGAGGTAGAGGAAGAGGAGGAGGAGGAGAGGAGGAGGAGGAGGAGGAGGAGGAAGAGGAGGAGGAGGAGGAGGAGGAGGAGGAGGAGGAGGAGGAGGAGGAGGAGGAAGAAGAGTTGCCGCGGGGCGCGAGAGGAGGGATGGGGCGGCGGGCGTTGGCAGTTCTGGCGCGGCGCCCACCGCGTCCCCAGGTGCAAATGGACGGCGTGCCCACGCCGCTGTTCAGCCCGGCGCAGTCCAGGAGGGAGGGCGTCGGGGCGTAAGAGACGGGGGTCAATTCAAACGGGGGTCAGCCAGAGCGCCAGATCTCACAGGATCCTGCAGGTGCAGCGTTGCACTGGCCCAGATTGGCGCGCGGGATGGTGCAGTATCCTGCAGGATGCTGCAGGATCATGCGCAGCCTGAGTTGCCCGGGTTTGGATTGACCAGGGTCAGTGGACCCCTGAGGGCGACGGGGCGGGAGGGAAACCGAGGACAACGTTGGGAGCTGGATGCTGGTGCTGGGTGGGCCGACAACGGAGCCAGGAACTGGCGCTGACAAAGATGTCGATTCATCGCACGGACGAGCACTGGTTTGCAACATTTCAATGCTGGACTGATGCGGGCGCCGGATTGCCCGGGCGCCCTTGCAAGCGCTGCGCTGACTGATGGCCGCATTTCCTTTCCTTTTCCTTTGCCACGCCGTGCGTCCAGCGTTTCGCGCTGCCGCCGGGATTGCTGCCTAGTTTCCCTTCTCTCCCTCTCTCATTTGCCCCCCCCTTCCCTTGTCGTTTCGTGTTCTCCTTTACCCCCCCCTTCCCCCCCCTTCTTTGCTCCCTTCTTTCCCTCTCCCCTTTGCCCCCTTCTTTCCCTCTCCCCCCCCTTGTCGTTTCGTGTTCTCCTTTGCCACCCCCCCTTTCCCCCCTCCCTTGTCGTTTCGTGTCCCCCTGCTCCGCCCCTCCGCTGCGCCCTCCCTGTCGTCGTCGTGTTGTCGACGTGGTCGGGATCGTCTTGCACTCAGGGTCTTTTCCCTCCCTCTTCCTCCTCCTCCTCCTACTACTCCTCCTCCTCGCCCTCCCTCCTCCACCTCCCCCTCCTCCTCTCCTCTCCTCCTTCCTCCTCCTCTCCTCGCTCGCTGTCCTTCTCTCCTCTCCCTCCTCCCCTCCCCCTTGTTCCCCAATTACCCCTGCCCCCTGCCTCCTGCCTCCGGGGCGCCGCGCTCACCCCCGGCCTCGGCGTGCCTCTCTGGCGGCCCGGCACCCCCCCTTGGCACAGGTCTTCCACCAGATCAGTGCCGCGTTGACCGTGCCACTTGTGGTGTCCAGGCGTCCGCGTTCGGTGAATTCGTCGGCAGGGGCCCGGCCCAGAGGAGGTCGGACCGCGCGCCACGTCGTGTCGCGCTCTGCTCGCGCCTGTTGCGCGTGTCTTCCAGCGAGCCCGGCCGCCCTTCGGGAATGCGGGCGCGGGTGTGCCCCCCGAGTTGGTTGCATCGGCGCATCCGCACCCGCATCCGACACGCGCGCACATGTGGCCGAGGTGGTCCCATTGGACACAACGGCAGCAAGAATTGTTTTCTAGTGTTGCTTTCGTGCTTGTGCATGCAAATGCACATAGATTTGCCATACATTCACACACACATCAGCGCGCTTTCAGAGAGTATGGGCGCAGACGCTTGCCATCTGAAATCCACGAGTGCGCGTGCGGCCCGCCCGTTTTAGACTCGCACGTGCTCTTGCAACACGCACTTGCTAGACCACCGCCTTGCGTTATTTGACGCAAGTGGCGTGGGGTATCGGTACTGGCTGGCCGTGCATGATATACACATATATATATATATATATATTTCGGCAGACGATCGTGCAGAAAACACATGAGGAACACAATGCGAACAGCTGGACGGACAACTCCTGCTTCGGCAAGGGGGAGTCCACATTCTACATCAAACGTCATGTTTACGGTGCAAGTTGCGTGGTATGGGATATGTGTGCAGGCTGCGAGGTGCAACGTGTGCGGCGGAGTTCACAGTGGGCGCTCGCACGCGGCAACCTCCTACGCTCGAGCAAACATCCCACCGGCCCACCCGCAGCACCTTGGCAACAGTCACGAAGGTCGCGCGTGCGGTTGCCCATCGGAGCTGGCCTGGCGAATCTCAAATGCTGGCGCGGTGGTGCGCGGACCCTGCCCGTGCAGATCCAAGATTCGGGCGGGCGGGCGACGATGGTGACAACGACGTCGGCGACGACGTCGACGGTGAAGATGCTGGCGATGTTGGAGGCGACGGCCGTGATGATGACAGCGACGTCGGCGATGAAGATGGTGATGACCATGGCCAGGACGGCGCTGGCAGTGCTGCTTTTTTCTTTGTAACTACGAGGATGGCGAAGGACTGCACGCGCAGAGGGTCTTATATGTATATCTATATATTATCTATATATCTCTCTATATATATATGTATAGGTGTGTGGCGTATTTTCCGATCCAAAGCTCGTGGCTTTTCGCATCGGCCTGTGCACACCTGAGTTGTGTGGATTGTATCGGCGTTGAAGGCTTCCGACGTGCGCGCGCGCGAAGATGCGCGCGTGCGCCCCGCGTGCCGCGACTTGGTGGAACACGCACGGCTGGCCCTCGAGCTCCGCGCGCGGCCGCGCAGAGGTCCGGCGCGGAAGCCCGTGATCCCGCTCGCTTTTGAGTATCGATCTAGGAGGGGAGGAGGAGAAGGAGGAGGAAGAGGAGGAGGAGGGATCACAGCGCTTCCTCCTCCTCCTCCTCCTCCTCCTCCTCCTCCTCCTCCCCCTCCTCCTCCTCCTCGCTTCCTCCTCCTCCTCCTCCTCCTCCTCCTCCTCCTCCCTCCCGCTCGCTTTCTTCAGGAGGGAAAGAAACACACAGACACCATTAATCGTCGATTCTCCGGAAAATATGGGAACATATGGGAAGTCGGGGGGAAGACACACACCCAGAACACATGAGACGAATATGGGGAATCTTTCTATGTGTGTGTATTTGAGTGTGTGTGTGTGTGTGTGTCCCAGAGGCCCTTCATACCTGGGCGACAAAAGAACACGGGGTCGACTGCGCCGACATTGGCCGCGCAAACTCCCCGCGTAAGGTCGCGCGTGAGCGCCCGCGTTTCCCATTCAGCGTGCCGCGCTGGCGGCCCGCGTAAGCCACCGCGTGAGGTCGCTACGTCATCTCGCGTGAGACCCGTTTGTGAGCGTCGCCCAGTTGAT